ATATCTACAGATCACAGAGAAGCTTTAGGTCTTTAACTGACAGGCACAGCTATAGCTACACATACCTATCTTCATTCATTATATCTGGAGAGAAGACAGAGAAAGGCAAAAAAGTGCTGAATAGTTTCACCCCACATCTAGTGATTATTGCTACAGACTTCTTCCCTACCTGTTTTTCTGTAATTCTAGGCTGTAGTAGAAAAACTCTGAACAACAGGCACCACATGCTCACCTACCTGGGACATAACCTTCACCAAAACTTCTAGAAATCATAAACTCCTCAGGTAGGCAGTTCCAAAGCACATACAAATATAATTACTTTCTCCCAGTCCTGCACTCAAATTCTGGGCTTTTTTTTTTTAAGATGGCAACTTACTGTAACATAAGAGACAGGTTTAGAAATAACAAAACTTCTCCACCTGCAAGTACAGTATTTCACACTCGAGGAGTCTTAGCTCATGTATCTTGCAACTTAAACTTAATATACACTATTCAAATGGGATCCACATTAAATCCATACTGGTGAAAGGGACTTTAAACCAAAATATAACATGAAGCCTGCTTTCAAATAAATCTCATCTGTTGAATTCAGTGTTCCTGAAACAAATTAACCCGAAAAAATTGTTAGCAAGTCTACCTATGCGGTGTATTTTATTCCACAAGGAGTAAGTTTGCTACCCTTTTAGTTACTACTTTTGCGCATCGAATCTCATCTGGAAGAAAACATTTAAGAACATCCACACCAAGAAAAAATAAATGCCCCTTCTGTTAAGCAAGGAAAAGATTAGGCCTCAGCAGTCTGTAACATAATCACTCAACCACAAAAAAGGCCAAAAATGGCCCAAAGTAAAACCTGGGGTGAAGCACTACTTGAAAATCACAGTACACATGCCTATCACATTTTTTGGCCATCCCTACAAAGCTCATGTGATTCTGTTTCGAATTTGAAGAACTCATTAGAAGTGAAGACAGAATTGTGCTGCCATTTTTGCAGTTTCTTTCACTTCATTTGTTTTGAAAAAAAGAAAAAAAAAATCAAACCCCAACAACACAAAAACACCACCCCAAATTTCTAGTGCTAATAATTGATACTTGCAATCAAATGCAGAATACTGCAATATCACCTTCCAGCAATGAAAGGCTGCTAAGCTGAGAAAAGTAAAATACTCCAAGCCCAGAAGGGGCTCACACAGTACAAGAACCTGCACTACAACAAGGGACCCTCCATCTCTCAATCAAGATATGCAGAAGCACAATTACTTTACATCTGATTTTGTAGTCAGTTGAAACCCACTTCATATTAGGCATCCGTGCTCTCAAGACAACAGTGAAATAGAAGAAACAGATGCTGGGATCACAGTATGTTAGAAAGCTACTCACAGACAGATGAAGTTTTCCATTCTTCCTTTGCAAGAGAACAGAACTGGATCAAAATCAGCACTGATCAGAGAACAAGCCTCAGCAAAGATCCAAGCTCCCTTTCCACCAAGTTCAGTAGCATGTTTGCTTGATCTCTACATCCACCTTTATTTTTAACTCAGTGACTAAAGCATTAAAAAATCCCCCTTATGCTGATCCCAACCTCTTTTTCCCCAGTTTGAAAGCCAGCAACAGATGAAATACCTTAATAAAAATACACTAACAACTGATTAACCATTATGAAATCAACACTATCATATTCTGCTCCAGAATAAAAACACAGCTTTCAGGATACACAGAAAAGGATGAGAAGTGTCATTTCCTTAGCCTGTATTTGTCTTCATAGTCCTGGATGCAGGCTTCCTCAAGTTGTTAAAGCACATGCATGAGATTTATGAATACCTTATTTTGCACACCTGTGGTTAGAAAACACTTGCAAGCTCCATTTAAATGATTAGAGACTCCTACTAGAAATACCTTGAAGTTGTCAAGTTCCCAGAACAGCCATGTGGAGGGAAAGAAAATAAAACATATCACCACAAAACTTGATTTTACTACTATGTGGAAATCACTAGTTTAAACACTAATTCTTCCCTTTGAGCTGATGCAGCCAGTCTAATAACAGCTAACCAGAAGCCAAGACCATGTGTCCTGAATACTCACTAAATCTGTACAATCTTGAAAACAATTCTGAAATAAGGAGACGATGAAGATTCCTTTTTCCAATTCATACAAGAAAAATGCCATTTGACAAAACCAAGCACATCAAAGTTTCTGGTGTGACAGAAAAAACCCAATCTGGTAAAAACATGCACCTAACTGATCCAAACAGTCTAATGCAAAAACACATACATGCTTTTACTTATATTCATATTTCCTGCTAGACACTTGCACTGCCCTCCCAATTTACTTACAGGAAGAACCAGAAGGTCTGAGCAGCAGCTCAAGCCATGCCAAACCATTTGCTGCTATACTTAATTTTCCAAGTCTGGAAAGTATTTACAGTTGTTAAAACGTTAACAAACCTTCTGAAAGGAATAAATTCATAGACTATTCTTCAAGAAACAGAAGAGGGCAGCCCAGAGGGATGGGGACTCTATTTATTCATAAAGTTCTATCTCCTCACACTATTACCATCCAATAAAAAGGGGACTAAGCAGGTAGAAAGATACACACTGAAAAAAAAAAAAAAAAGGCATTAACATCTTTAAAGAGAGAAAGCATTCAGGACATTGAAGTAAGCTAAGTTATGCAGTCTTTCACATATGCACTTACTCAAGTTATCTCAGCAATACAGAATAACTGCAAGTGGAACAAGAGGTGGTTTGTACAACCTAAGGCACTATTCACCGTGTGAAAGTTTAAGAACCCTTGACCCTAGCAGTCTTGCTGAGCAAGTAATTTCCTTTCAGCATGCATTAAGGCCTATAGATCAGCCTCATCTTACCAGAGCAACCAAGGCCCAAGATGCAATCTGTGATCAGCCACTTAACAGTTACCTGTGCTTACAGAGTAGTCTATTTGAAATAATCTCATTTATTTCAAAGAGGCAGGTGAGATTTTGAGCAATACTTGACAGAGCTAAGCCTTCAGGGCCCACACTTATGATCTTGGTCAGAGCTATTTCAAAAACATTTAACTCACAAAGAATATCCTAACTTCTATGAACAATAGCCATGAAAGAAAACATAATGAATGTTTTTTATTAAATGAAAAAGCCACATACTTGTGTATACTCTCTCACCAGCCTTTTTAACCCAAGTTTTTTATTTAGCTGGCACCCTAAGGATGTTCTTAAACTTTCTGAGGTACCAAGAAACTAGTAGAGCACTATTCCTGACAGATGCTCATCACCTTTTCTCTGTAAAGAGAAAAACTGTTAGGATCCTCCAACACTTATAATTTTAAAAGCTAACAAAGAGGCACCTGAAGAAACATGAAAGTTAAAAGAATACATAATTTTATTGCTGTATTCCCCCTTTCCAAAACAGTCTTTTCCCCTAAAATGAACTTAGTTTGCAATTCAGCCAAGTTCAACTGCCAAGCATTTCTAAGCATGTGTTCATCTTGTTTATGAAATGGAAACTCTATCACAGAATTCCAAAAGCCTAAGGTGCAGCACAGCTGAATCCTAGACCACAAGTTAGATCACTACAATACTACAGAGGTGCTAAGAAACTAGCAGTACATTTGGCTATTTGTAGGCCATCTGAAACTAATTCACCCTCTTGAGTCAAACAGCTGTTTTACTCCCTGCTCTTCATAAGCCTGGATTTTATTTTTTCCCTTTCCTTTTTAAGCAGTGAAAGGGGCTAGAAAAAGTTGCACTCTTCTACATATTCATCTTTCAGTATATGTACTCTTCTGCTAGTGCCAGACACCATGTTTACATGAATATGAAGTCAAAGTACAGGGATGTTCAAGTCAAGACATTTCAAAACTAAAACAAAACACAGGCAGTTAAAACACAGCAAGTTAGAAACCTGTACAGGCTCAGTAAACATGTGACTGGCCAACATTAACTCCTAAAAGTTTTGGACAGGAGTAAGCCAACATCTGCAGGTCTAGAATTTCCACAGCTTTAACCAGCTGATATATTTTGCTCACATTAACATATGCTCTGGAGAGAATTGCTTCTCCTATGAACAGCATACTTAGTATTACCACACTGACAGAAGCATACAAGCCATGGACAATTAAATCCTTTCTGGTATAGTAACAAAGCATTTTAAGATAATTATCTAGTGTATTTTCCCTCCCCTTTACTGCACATACAAAGGCACCGGCTGCTCACTTTTAAGCTGGCAGGTAGAGCTGTAGGACCGTCGCTAGAAGCAGGATGAGCACCCATACACAGCCTTATCATTTGCTTCTGCTAATACACAAAATGGAAAGAGCTTCTAGGATTTTGCAAGCAGGAGATAGAAAGTTACATACCGGTTATCTTACAGACAGACAAATCTCAGGAGGTTGTACGGACTGTCCAAAATAACACCAAAATTAAGAGGCTGCCATTCACCATCTGTTTGTCTCTCCCTCAGGAAAAAAGTGCATATCACAAGAAGAAATGGAGCCTGGCTCCAGGGAAGAGGAAGAAGGAGAGAGAGGAAATTTCCACGCAAATTCTAAGTGAATCACGCTGCGATGCCCGCGCCTGGCCGCACCGGCCTGCCCCAGCAAATGCGAGCGGTTCCGGGGCCACCGTCCCTCCGCCACCCCGGCCGGTGGCCCGGCCCGGCCCAAGGGCTTCCCCGCGCCGGAGGGGGGGCGAGGAGGAAATAAATACAGCCTCCTCCGGGCAGCGACACGGAGGGAGCCCCTTCCCCGGTGCCCCCGGGGAGGAGAAGCCGCCCGCTCGCCCCCGCGCCCTCCTCTCACGGCCCGGTGCCCTCGGCGCCCGGCAGCGGCCCGGCGCGTCCTCCCGTCGCCGGGGCTGCACCGGCGGGTGGGCTGCGGCCTGCGCCGTCCCAGCGAAGCCTCGGCGCTCTCGTAGTCAGAGCGGCCCGGCTCCCCCCCGCCTCCTCCTCGTCTCTCCTTCCCTCCTCCTTCCCTCCCCGGCCCGGCCTTCAGCTCGCACTCACCCGCCTTCCTCCTGCCTGCCCGGCCCGCGGTGCGTGTGCGCGGCTCTCCCTCTCAGGCTGCCCAGCGCGGCGGGGGCGGCCGGGCGGGTGGGTGAGTGAGCGTGCGGGAAAGGAGGCGAGGGGAAAAGGAGGAGAAGGGTGGGGAGGGAAGGAGAGAGGCGGCGAGGAAGGAGAGAAACGGAGAGGAGAAACCCGCAGCGGCGCTTCTGGAGCGGGACGTGCGGCGGCAGCCGGTCGGGCGCTCGGGCGGCTGCTCCGACGACCTTTACGCGAGGGACGGGCGATCTCCGAGCTCGGGGCGCTCCGCTGCCAGCCCGGCCACCATCTTACATTGGGGAGACTTGCCCCGGACGCCGCCCCCGCTGCGCGTGCGCTGCCGACAGTGGGCGGGGAGCGGCGCGGGAGGGGGGACGGGGCGCGACGGCAGCGGCCGCGACGGCGCGGGGCATGACGGGACTTGTAGGCGGCGGCGATGGCCGTGGCCTGGGCGGGGCGGGAGGAGGCGGTGGCGGCTGTAGCCGGAGCCCGGTCCCGGTCCCGGTCCTGGTCCTCTTCCGCCAGGCCGGGGATGCGGAGCTCTCCGCCGGGCAGGGCCGTCCCACCGCTCCGCTGCGGGAAGTCCCCGTCCGTAAACTCCCTGCAACTTCATCCACCTGTTGTTGGGCATTGAACCGCGCGGTTTTCAAGCAGTGGGTTGATTTCTTTAAAAAATATTTCTTTCCCTGTCATTGGTGTTGCTTTGGGTTTTTTCTCCGATGCCGTGTACCTTGGCTACAGCGCCGGGGCTGTGCTGCGCTGTGCCGCGGCCGGAGCGCCGGGCGCGGCTGTCAGCGCTCGCCCGGGGCTGGCCGCGGGCAGCTCCGCCTCACGGCCCCGGCCCCTCGCCCGCCGCCGCCACGGCCGCCGGGCCGCCTCAGCCTCCTCTCGCTTAAACTCAGAGAAACTGTATTGCTTCTATCTCTCTTTCTACCACAGACACCCTGTGCCATGGACCTGTTCTAATTGCATCTGTATGGCTCTCTTTGTCCTGTGATTCCTGATGCTGCACGAAAGACCTCATCACCTCAGCTGACAGAGAGTGCTTTTACTCATCGCCTTTGTAGCTCTCTTGTGGCTCTCCTGGCCTGGCATCCTTAGCTCTCCGGGCAGCCAGCCTCATCCTAGGTGTTTAATTATCAGTTATCTCCAGTGCGCAAACTATTGCTACTTTTGCCATGACAGTATTCCCCTGAGAATTTTACTTATTTCAGCAGTTGATAGGACAAAGAGGTGTTCATAGCCAAATGCACTGGCACAACCATTACATTTAATGGCATAGATTTTTTTCTCCTTCTGTTTCTTAGTTTGAAGTATTACACTAGTACAACTTTGTACAATATGCTTGTTCAACTAACAGTGAAACTTGTGTTGACATAGCTTATCTCCTTCCTAAAATAAGTTAATGTTACCTTGTGCATATTAAATTTTAGACCAATATATGTGTGTCCCCCACAGACAAGCCCTACAAATTAACTTTACTACTCGCTGTCAGCAAGACCCAGGTCTGCATAAAAAGGTATGCTGTTCTCGGCAGTAGTCTTGACATGTGAACTCAAATGCAATGTTATTCAGAAAACAAAACATAAAATGGACTGTAAACGCCTAAATATGTGAGACGTCCTGTTTCTCTGCAAATATCTTAGACTGTAACATACACTTAATATACCAATGTAAAAGTGACTAGCTAGTATTGCAATATATTATATATATAATTATATTAATACTAACTAGTATAATGTTAATATATTAATACTAACTAGTATATGTATATAACATACATTGAAATTAATAATGTATGTTATATACATACATTCATCTGAATTGATGATGACTGTATGTATATACATTCATCAGATGAATGTATGTACATAACAATACAGATGAATGTATGTATATAACAATGTATTTCTCAAAAACTTTATTATTTTCATATTTTCCTATCAACTGATATATAAACCATTAGATTCCAGAAGTATCCATTATGTAAGTAACTTATATAAGTAATGTGATTGTTGACACACCTAATACCCAGCAACATTTCCTGTTGATTAAAAGCAAGTACTCTGATTTGGAAAGACAGGTTAAAAATAATGTAACTAAAAACTGCAATTTTGAATTAGAATTGAGGCTGTTAGTATTAAGTGAAATCTGTGTTTTCTTTTAATTATTTCTTTTAATTATTCCATAATAATGTAGGAAAAAAAATCTACATGGCTGAAGACTGCTCTGGCTGATGTTACCAAAAGCTATCCATAGGCCTGCTTCCACTTCTTCTTTAATCTGGTAAGAATAATTCACTAGGCCATCATGTGGCCATTTTAAACTTTTGAGGTGTCCTTAAGTTACTTATTTTATTACTTTTAAGTAATTGTAATTGCTTCCATAAGATTACTTAACCACATTTTGACACCTTATTTACTTTTGGAAATGTTTGGGTTTCATTTGTTTTGAATGGGTCTGACAACTCAGCAGGACTGTTTCTAAGAAATCATTTCCATGTTCAGAAAGAAAAGCTTTTGGAATACAGTTTTTCGGAAATAACCAGTGTGTACCAGCTAGAGTAAAAATGTGTATTCATATGCTTTATATATTGTGGTTCAACCCCCAGTTCCCTGACATTTGTTGCATACACACTGTCATGCATTGATTCACACCATACACTGGGAAATTGTTCTCCTGGGCAATGATCCACAGTCACTGTCTTGAGGAACAAACATAGGAACCTACTAGGATTCTGCAGTTTGGTGTGAAGCCAAGCTATTTTCAGGATTCCTCCAGTGTTAAGCCACCACCATTTCAAATGGCTGCCAACCTGTTTGGAGGAAATGATGAAGGGTGCAGAGAATGGACTAGAGAAAGAAAGACATGATGGTGGTGTGCTGATACTGGCAGGAAAGGAGGAGGTGGAGATTGAGTAATTCCATGCCTGGCTGGGATAGAGAGTAATTATGCTGGGACTTTAGGATGGTGAAGTTGCAAAGCATCTCTACAGACTGCAGTCTGAATATTCAGCAACAAAGAAACAATAACACAGCACCTCTACATGTGGACTTTCTGCTCACTGGGATTGATAATGGTCTACCAGTATGTGCTAGAAATATTTATCACACATATATTTCACTGTGTTGGTACTGAGGAAAACTGAGGAAAATTTCCAGTTTTATAAAGTTCATGACCTCAAGCTCTGCTGGCAGCAGTGGCTGAATGTATTTGCCTATATTTCAGGCTGAAAGTTTGGTTTGATAACTAGAAAAGAAAATTTTTCTTCTCAAGCTTCTGCAAAGCCTCATGGATCGCTACAGAAAGTTCACAGATATAGAATGATATACAATAGTTAATAACAGATTTTTTAATAAATTCAGCCGTCAAGCTTCTGCAAAGCCTCATGGATCGCTACAGAAAGTTCACAGATATTATAGAATGATATACAATGGTTAACAACAGATTTTTTAATAAATTCAGCCTTATTTACTGAAACAGAAATAAGAATTGCTCTGCAGACTGCAGTGGATGTTATTGATGTGTCCACTCCTTTTCTCACTCTTGGAGGTCCAAACATCTTTCTGCTTCTCTGACCAATGATGCCTTTTACTTGGCAAATGCACTGGAGAAAGGAACTGCATGACTGTTCTGACTAACTGTAGAATAATAATAAAGGGCTTTGTTGAGAAATTAAGGGCAGGTGGAGGAGCCTTACAAACACTGATCGACATTTTCTGCAAGTGGCAGATGTTCACTATGTCTTGTTGGAAATCCATGAGAAGAGAAGGAGATCTCTATGCTGCTCAGGAAAACAAGATGAGTGAATTCTCCTGCTCTTTCTTAAATGAGAGAATAGAGTGATGAAAAATGAATATATTATAAAGATAATGAGAGAGATGTATCTTTGTTATGTTTTTGAATTATTAGGGGAAAATGAGAACCTCAGTGGGTTGCTGCAGCCATTTTTTTTCATTACAACCTTATTTGTTTAGCATTACTCTGGCACAGCACACCTTATCTGCTAAGTGCACCTATCTTTGCAAATGAAAGCAGAAATCACTCTTGCTTTCTGGAAAGGGTGTAGTGGGGACCTCCAGGAAGCTCCCACTATTTGTTAACCTCAGAGTGCACTTGAAGTAGTGGCCTAACATCCTAATATTCTTCAGAGGACTGGGGTTTTTTTTTTTTCACAATTTACAGCAAATCTTCCTGTGTGGTTTTTTTCCTTGTCCCAAACTCTTCTGAATCTAGACACTTATGTCTAAGTTAACACAAGTTGTCATAAACATCCTTCCAGCTCTTTTTTTGCATTCTGGCTCCTGTGCTGAAATCCATTCACAGAATCCTTGAACTCCTCCTTCCTATCCTCCTTTTCCTTTTTAAAGTATTTTTTACTTATTAAGCAACATGTTAGGCTCAATTCCTCATCATAACGGGGCCTTTGTTGTCAGAGATAAATTGCAATTATTTGTTATTTCTGCACTGAACTCAGTGATCATAGGTTTCATTTTTTAAATCAATTTTGGAATGTCATTCCCATCTGTTTTTCCAGTTTGGGCTTCCCTAGGAACTGATTGTTCTCAGCAAACTCCATAGTGTGTAAAAAATAAGAAGCCTTTCTCTCTATATATCTCTTTTCTGTAGAAATCCTATGCTGGTCTTGGAATGGGAAGGAGGGCAGAAGATGCTGGGCTAATGAGAGAGATAGTTTCCTGTTACTGAATAGTAACAGGACTTGAGTTTGCAGAGTTTTATGTGCACCTCTGTAGCAATGTTACCTTGAATATGTTTCCAAGAGCTAAGAAAAAGTCTTAGAGCAAAAGGCAATGGATAAATCAGAAGGATGTGCAGCATTGCATAGAAGGGTACTGAAGTATATTCAGTTGCAGAAGTGAGAGACCATACAGATGAGAAACCAAGAGGGCTGCGCTGCTTTGGTCTGTGCATAAAAATGGGGCACAGTCTTTGCCCTAAGATCTCCTGTAACACATGCAGGTCGGCATCATGTGCACTAGAAGGGAACAGACTGTAAAGCAATTGGCCTGAATTCAAGAATTCTGTATTGCTGAAGGTTTGATTACAAGTGTTTTATAATCTCAGCATTTTGAAATGTTTAATTTTGGTAATTCATCTCATAAAATGTGAAAGGAAGCTACAGAATGCTGAACAAATTATAAGGCAAAGTATATTTCCTATTGCTTTTTTTTCCTGCATTTGATGTTGCAATAACTATGCCTGCCCTGCAATCTGTAATCCTTTTAAATCATGTGATGCTGTCCATGAGAGTTATGGCAGGAAGAGCAGCAGTGAGCCCAGATGTGTAGCAAACAGCACAAGGTGGG